CTTTATAAAACGTGTAACAGATGTCTCTGAAACACCCAGCACGTCACTGACACCAGAGGCCATAGGATGTGGCAATGTTTTTGTTTGTTTTTGCAAAATATGCACTTCTCCCACACAAAAACACGCATTTCCTGGGACTCAGATTTGGGTATATTTTTATCTTTCAAAACAGAAAAATATTGAGGACTTCCAGCCAAGATGGAGGCATAGGTAGACACACTGTGCCTCCTCACACAACCAAAATAAGAACAACAACAATTTAAAAACAAAATAACAACCAGAACCGACAGAAGATTGAACTGTATGGAAGTCTGACAGCCAAAGAGTTAAAATAGACACATTCATCCAGACCAGTAGGAGGCGCTGAGTCGGGGAGCTGGGCCGGGTCATGGCTCAGAGAACAGAGAGTGTTGGGACCAGGTGCATAAGGCATCCGGTGTGTGCAAGACCACAGCAGGTGAACCCTGAGTGCGCAGGTGGCAGCTGGCAGACCCCAGCCGAGGGGTGGCAACCAGCAGACCCAGCGAGGCAGCAATTGTGAAGCAAGGCACTGCGTGCAATCCAGGATCACAGCACTGGGAAATAGAGCCTTGAGGCACTGATTGAAAACACCTGTGGGGATTGAGGCGCAGTGAGAGACTCCCAGCCTCACAGGAGAGGTTGTTGGAAAGTCGCAGGGGGTGCACAAGCCCACCCACACGAGAACTGGCACTAGAGGGGTCCAGTTGGCTCAGGGGAAGCGGCGGAAGGGACTGAGGTCCGACAGAGAGTGGAGCAAGTGCCATTACTCCCTTTCAGACCCCACCCCCACATACAGTGGCATAACCCAGCGACTGGGGTGCCCCGCCCTGGTGAACACCTGAGGCTCCACCCCTCATACAGAACAGGCACGACAAGACCAAACGAAAAAAAAAAGATGGCTCAAACAGAAGAACAAATGAAAGCCCCAGAACCAGTACTTCTAAGTGACCGAGAGATAGCCAACCTATCAGATGTATAATTCAAAGCACTGGTGATCAGGATGCTCACAGAATTGGTTGATTTTGGTTGCAAATTAGATGAAAAAATGAAAGCTACAATAAATGAAATGAAGAAAAATGCACAGGGAACCAATAGTGATGGACTGAAAGCTGGGTCTCACATAAATGGAGTGGACCAGAAGGAAGAAGAAAACATACAACCAGAAAAGAATGAAAAAATAAGAATTCAAAAAAATGAGGAGAGGCTTAGGAACCTCCAGGACATCTTTAAATGTTCCAACATCCGAATTATAGGGGTACCAGAAGGGGAAGAGGAAAAGCAACAAGTGGAAAAGTTATTTGAACAAATAATAAAGGAGAACTTCCCCAATCTGGCAAAGGAAATGGACTTCCAGGAAGTTCAAGAAGCTCAGAGAGTCCTGAAGAAGTTGGACCCAAGAAGGAACATACCAAGGCACATCATGGTTACATTAGCCAAGGTAAAAATGAAGGAGAGAATCCTAGAAGCAGCAAAAGATAAAGAGACAGTCACCTACAAAGGAGTTCCCATCAGACTGTCAGCTGATTTCTCAAAAGAGACCTCACAGGCAAGAAAGGGCTGGAAAGAAGTACTCCAAGTCATGAAAGGCAGGGACCTACATCCCAGATTGCTCTATCCAGCAAAGCTTTCATTTAGAATGGAAGAGCAGATAAAGTGCTTCTCAGACAAGGTCAAGGTAAAGGAGTTCGTCATCACCAAGCCCTTATTTTATGAAATGTTAAAGGGACTTATCTAAGAAAAAGAAGATAAAAAACATGTATAGTAAAATGACAGCAAACTCACAATTACGAACAACCACACCTGAAACAAAAACAAAAAGAAACTAAGCAAACAACTAGAACAGGAACAGAATCACAGAAATGGAGATCACATGGAGGGTTAGCAACAGGGGAGTGGGAGGAGAGAGGGGGAAAAGGTACAGAGAATAAGTAGCACAGATGGTAGGTATAAGATAGACAGAGGGAGGGCAAGAATAGTATGGGAAATATAGAAGCTCAAGAACTTATGACACATGGATATGAACTAAAGGGGGAATGTGGGTGGGAGAGGGTGTGCAAGGTGGAGGGGAATGAAGGGGGGTAATGGGACAACTGTAATAGCATGATGAATAAAATATATTAAAAAAACAAAGAAACAGACAAATATTAAATATTTTTTAAATGCAAAATTATCCTCATGCAAGAGTCTAGCTTATTTATACTGGAATCACTTAGGCTATCTTAAAAAACACACACACACACAAAAAAACAACACACATCTTGGAGATCCACTTTAAGACAGCCACTGAGCTTATTATTCACAGTTAGGAGTCCTGCAGTAATCTCAATGAAAGGAAAGTTCCAGTCCCAAGGATTTCAAGAAAGAAAAAGGAAATTCAATGAAGAAGCCTCTGAGTCCCACAGAAACGCTGCAGCTGTCCAAAACATTTCCGACCCCTGCACACTGCGATGTGCTATGTTAAATTATGAACCCAAGTCCTCACGTTGGCCTGGTGGTGACTTTGAAGCCAAACTCTCATCTTAGAAATGCCAAATGAACAGGAAAAAAGATAAAGGAGGAGAGAAAAGGAGATGAGGAGACACTGACAAGAGGCAGAGGCAGTGGATGGTAGAAAAGGAATAAGTAATGGATTTGTCCATTTGTCCATCTGGACAGTTCCGCAACCGTCGCAGATAACAGCTGGGAATAGACCTACTTATGAGCAACAAAAGCAGCTACCCTGGCCTACTTCTGCTGTCAGGAGAAAAGTAGCAACATGTGTTAGAGTCCCTTGCAGCAACCCTTTGGCATAAGGCAGGCATACAACAGCAGAAAATGCCACATATCACATCAAGATCCATCAGACAAATAGCCCTGCACAAAATCAGGTCACACGGCAGTCTTCAGACCAACGGTGCCACTGTGGGTGCAGAGCTGATGCAAGTCCCAGCGAAGACCTTTCTGCCCCCACACCCCCAGGCCCCACCACACTATTAGTGTGATGTAGCTTGTTGTAAGTTCAAACACACAAAACAAACAAACTGGAAAGTCCTCCATATAAAAAAGGTTAAAATAAAATGTAAACAATGTTATTCTCCAGTAATGTAGGACAAACAAGACACTGGAGCACATTCAAGTTCTGAGATGTAACCCACATAATGCAAGTACCCCTCCCAATCCAGAAGCATTTGGTCTCTGAGTTCAGACAGTGGCGATCGCCTGCATGTACCTCTCATACGGAGAGGTCCCCCAGGCCAGCAGCCTGCAGGACACTGTTCTCACCTACCCTCCTTCCCAGCACTTTCTTTTCCCCAAGTATTAGCCAGAAGAAACAAAGAAAGGGGCTAATGTCTCCACACTGTGGGGTTGCTTTAGCCTCTCTCCATTCTAAGAGGTCTTTTCAAACTCAGATTTTCTAAATGAAGATTATACTTTTCAATGCAGAATTCTATTTATTCCTTAAGGGCTCTGGATTAATCACTTTACATTGTAACTGGTTTTCTAGTGCTTCCTCTGAATTTCTGCTTAGAAGAGTTAAACGTGCTGCCGTCTTTAATTCTCTTAAGCCTCAAACAGGATCAAAAGGAAGTTACACACAGAGCTTACGTCACATGAGAACAATTTAATGTGATGACTTGCCAGAAATGATAAACTCGGGTGGCTGGATAAGAAAAGCTCAGAGTTCAGATTTCAGATGTAGTTAACATTCAGACCTGGTGTGCTTGCTGCCCAAGCACAACTGGGGGCCACTCACTCCACCAGCTACCGACACCTTAACAGGGTCTGACTTCCACCACTATGGGGCTCCTCCTTCCTCAAAAAAGAACACATCACAGCTGCCTCTTGAGTATCTGGACAGGAAAATCATTTCTGTGGTCTTAATTCCTTGCAGATCACAACATGAGTCTTGAATATGCACTCACTTATTGTGGCCATCAACCTTTCCAGGGGACAACAATTATAGTACAGAGGACATACTAGTTGTATAGTGTGCATTTAAAAAATTAAATTGAGGCCTGCCAGACCAATACAATGTAATCACAATGACCTCTCTCTGTAGAACTCATTAGTATTTGGGGGGCCTGGGGAGTCTCACCATGTGGATGGCATATTTACAAAGAGACCTACAAAACCAGCTGAATATTTCCATCACACACATATGCACATATGTGCATGCACACACACAGGTTACTTTGTGTGATCCTGGCCCAGTTCCTCCACAGAGGCTTGGGCACATATTCCAAACACAGACCCCAAATGTGTCTGCTGCTGGAAGTGGACTGATAAAAGTCAGGAGGCCTCGGACTTCTGCTTCAGTTCACACACACACCCTCATCTCTCTCTAGAACTGCCCTTTTCTTTACTATTCTGTTCATAAGCACTTCAGAAGCTTTTCAGAGATGAACTCAATGGTGCTGCCTGTGGCAGAGATGACCTTAGGATTATATACATGGTTTATAAAGAAAAACCAACGAACCAACAAATGCCTGTGTCAGACACCAGGTGTGCTTCTGACTGAGAACAGTTGACATGCCTGTGACCCAGAGTGGAAACAAGGTAGCCAACAGGACCTTAGAGGGGTCATTAACAGAATGGGAAACTGGGAGAGAAGGTGATATTTAGGTCTGTAGGAGAGAAAAGGGGAGATCTTAGTAAAAAGAGAAAAAACAACCTTTGTGAAGTAAAAACATTTACTTTCCCTTACATCTGCAAGACATCTCCTGGGCAGTAAGTGGCAATGATGCATAGGTGAGTCACTACACTCAAAGCCGACTTAGGTAAACTACAGAGAGGCATCTTATACAGGTGATAGAGACCAAGTATGTATGTCTACCTTAATATGAGCCCCTAGTATTCTTTTGCTATTTCCAGTCTGTTCACACAATCTGAAAAGGGATGGCACACATCATACAGTACACACACATCTACACACACATATTGACTGTCATCTCCTGGAACCTCCCAGGCTTGAGCGGACCTCGAAATCCCAGGTCACTTACCGAGGACTCACTGTCCCTAATGAGGAAGTCGCCCTCGCGGCCCCGCTCATTGAGGGCACATTCGGCCTGGTGACGTGTCACGTTCCCGTAGTACCACTCTCTGCCCGCAAAGCGCCCGCTGCCCGCAGGCCCCGGGTAGCTGATCTGCGGGGCATGTGACGGAGGCAGGGCCGGCCCATCGCTGAGGACCACCACATAGTTTTTGGGGACAAGGCCGACCTGCCCTCCGGCGTTTTTGCACTTCCACCACTCTGGGTCATTTTCCGGCTTTTCGATCACCTCCATGATCTCCCCCTTCTCAAAGTTGAGCTCCTCCTCAGTGACAGAGCTGAAGGGGTACAGCGTCTGGACCACGTGCAGGATACGGGTGCCCTGGCCATTGCTCAGGGACGCACCCTTCCGCAGGCTCAGGAAGCTGGGGGACTCTGCGGCCGCCTCATCCACCTCCTCCAGGACGTAGTTGGAGGGGAACCAGCCGATCTGCCCGTTGTAGCTGCCACGCCACCAGCCGTCGCTGCACTTCTCCATGACGGTGACACGCGACCCCTTCACCAGAGACAGCTCGTCCTCCCTCTCAGCCACATAGGCGAATTTGACGAAGGCTGGGATGTTGAGGTCATAGATGCGGTCGGCGCCACTCCCATTGGCAGGGTACTCCGCATCGGTGCTGGGAGTTGGGGACGCGTCCCTTGTGCTGGTCTTCCTCTTGGTCTTGCCAAGGCCTGTGGAGACACAAGGGCTCAGTGGGCACCAGCATGTGTGGCAGGACGCCATGGGGCATCCCCAGGGCCCTGCTGCCAACTCCCCGCCCATAAAATTCAAGGGGACAAACCCACCCTGGTTACAAACTAAGATCACCATCGGAAATGTCACATGTTGATGGCTGCCTAACAGTTGGGAATGACTAAAACTGACCTCTTTGCTTGACTCTTTAAAAAATGCCAGAATACCAGCAGCATAGAAGATAACAAAACAATAGAAAGTCAGTTTCCTTTGGGAATGATTACAGAATTCCTGTGCCACTCAAGACAGAAAACTAAGCGATAAAGGCACAGATAAGATGTCTTCACGTTCTTGTACTGGGTAGGAAGTTGGGCTAAATGAACTCAAAAGGCCTGTTCTAAGAGGGTTCAGATCTCAGCAAGCAGAGCTCCCCTCCTCCCCATTCCCACCTGAGCCCCCTCAGGCCAGTCCACCCTCTCCTCTCCGGAACACTGTGCCTTCCCAAGGCTCCCAACCAGGCAGAGACCCATACCCTTCCCCTTTCTTCTCATCTTGCAGTTGTTTTCTCTCAGAGCAGAAGGCTCGCTTCCCACAACAGGTTGTGATGAGTGAAAAATTCCCTGACACATTAATTCTTTTTTTTTAAAGATTTTATTTGTTTATTTTTAGAGGGGAAGGGAGGGAGATAGACAGAGAGAGAGAGAAACATCAATGTGCGGTTGCTGGGGGTTATGGCCTGCAGCCCAGGCATGTACCCTGGCTGGGAATCGAACCTGCGACACTTTGGTTCCCAGTCCGCGCTCAATCCACTGAGCTACGCCAGCCAGGGCTGAAACATTAATTCTAAGGCAGAATTTTTCTTATTGTGACCAAAATCCCACTAGTGGATCATAAAATCAATTCCATGAGTTGTGACCAGACTATATGTATGTATAACCTTTTTTTTTTAAAAAGAGAATGAAATACAAAATTTTAAAGTGCATCAAATACAGTATTGTCGCTTCAGTTATATATGTGAGGGGTTGTAATGTGAAACTTACTTCTTCCCAACCGTAAGTTTGAAAAACCCTAAGGCAAAATGCTTTAACTTGGTTGAAATCCAGAATTCTGGAGCCTTCTTGAGAAACGAGCCTAGGGAGGAAGGCACATCGGTCTGCAGGGCTGAGGTGTGCCCCTGGACTGCTTGAGCTGCCTGACTACCTCCAACTTCCTCAACATGGAGATTATGATGGGACGGAAACTGCAGCCATTTGCAGATATTTAATTTTATTTTATTTTCCAAAATGACACTAAATCACTTTAATGGGTAGCCTGTATCTCTCTCACCTTTTATCTCTAAAACTGGAGTAAAGACCGAATGATCCTGAGAACTGCCTTCGTTTTTGGATCCTTGCTGAGCAGGTCAGGAGGAATACAATGCTGCATCGTGACCATCCTACACTGTGGACGTCTAGGCGGTGCCTCTAGAGCAGACACTTCCCAGGTCAGCGCCACCCACAGAGTGTGGCCAAATTGAAGGCACACATGGAGTGACAGCACACTGATGTGAAGTGGGTGTCAAGTGAACACACCCATTCCTTAAACTCACCGCTGTACTGTTCCTTTCCGTGCCATGGCAAGTACGCTCGAGTACATGGGAAAGGGATATAGGAGCTAGGCGGGATGTTAGACCAAGCACAAAATTTAGATTTCTACTTAAGAGTTAACCTGCTCTACATGGAAACATGAACCTCTAAATCTCAGAACAAATCCCTTCACGTGATTTCCAACCTAGAACAGTTTCACTATGCAGTGAGAGAGCACTGTGATGATTCCACAGCTTTGTGATCCCGAAGACAAGGCAGCTCATGAAAGGAAACTCCCATCCAGAAGGCACAGGTATTGCAAACCTCACAAAGCAGTCCACACACTGAAGCACTGAAGCAGAAATGACCAGGCTATTCAATTTTTATTGGTAACAAAGATTTCAAGAAATAACATTTAAACGTAACTGTTTAATAGACCGTTTCAAAACTTACAACACAAGCCACTTGAAAAAATACTTATGGAAGATCAAGTTTTATAATATTCACCAGGACATAAAGGTGTCAAGATCAGCAGAGCAGACAATGTTAGACCTTAGCATAATACATTGTTGAAGACAGTTTGCAACCCGTTTATGAAGGAATGTACTACTTTGCTTGCTTTTTTCCAACAAAATAATTACTTCAGCCACTGAGTTCCTCCCTGCCAGACACCATCCTAGACTTTGGGAAGAGCAAGATAAACAAGGCAGGCACACTCCCTGCCTATATGGAATTTTAGTTTCTCTATCAAGACTGGAACATTCTACACAGCACCCACACCATGGAAAATTGAACTGTTTTGCTTTGTAATCTAAACAATCTTTGAGGCCACTCTGGGTGGGGTGGGGGTGGTGGTGATGGTTATAGAAGGGTGACTAAGAGCCTAACCCCAGGGGAAATCCTAGCAGGCCACTTAGCTGTGTGCTCTTGGGTACTGTGTCAGTCTGCTGCAGCTGCCCTAAAAAAGTGTCTGACTGGGGCTGCAACAGCAGAAACTGATCTTCTCACAGTTCTGCAAGCAGAAGTAGAACATCAAGGGTTGCTTCCCTCTGAGGTCTCCCTCCTTGGCTTGCAGATGGCTGCTTTCTGTGTCTTCACATGGCCTTTCTGTGTGTGTGTGTGTGTGTGTGTGTGTGTGTGTGTGTGTGCTCCTAATTTCCTCTTTTTACACAGGCACTGGACACACTGGATTAGGGTCCACCCTAGTCATTTTAACTTAATTATCTCTTTAAAGGCCCTGCAGCAAATACAGCCACACATTGACTTACTAGGGAGTAAGATGTCAATGTATGAATTTTGGGGGATGTAATAGCCCATAACAGGTACCCAAATTCGGATTATATGTGTAAAGCACAGGAAATGCTCTAAGAACGATAAAAATTGTTACTCTTATTAACTGATCCGGGGCTTTGAATTTCTTTCTCAGAACAGTGTCTTACAAGGAGAGGTCCACAGTCCTTTTTTAATGCTCTTGCCCATGACCCTACTAGTGTCAGACAACCGCCAAAATAGAAAGTTTGCCTGTTAGGCTTTTGGCACCTGGGAAATCTTACTCCCTGGGGGCACTATTATATGTAGCTGCTGGTGCAGTGAAATTCATGAGGCAGGTGTCTGGGCATAGAGAAGAAGATGACCTCATTGACATCTCCATTATCTGAGCCCTCATAACAGTTCTGGACAAAGAGGGCACCTCCCCACGATTTCTGCAAATGGGGAAATAAATGCTAAAAGAGATCAGGGACTGGTCCAACACACGTAGCTAGTGATGAGAAACAGACCTGTACTCCCAATAAAAATAATAGTCAAGAACAGTTCTGTTAGAGGCTGATGTGCAGCATGGCAGGACTCTGAACTGAGGGATCAAGAATCTGTTCTTACAATGCCCTACTGGCTGCCCAAACAGCAAGGTGCATTTCCTCTAATTCTAGGAAATGAAAATGGCCCCTACGTCTCCAGGTGGAAGTGGGGCTGAAGTTTAGGGAATGAAGATTTGGGATAAGGAATGTATCACGAGGAACCATGAAGCCATGTGACCAGTGCCATGTGACAGCTGAGATCTCAAAGGGCATGCTCTGAATGTAGAACAGGCAGCATGGGTCACGTGTGGATGACAAGGGACGGCAGTGCTGCTGCATCCAAGCAGAGAGGAGAGAGGTATGACTATGAGCCCCGAGCCCTGGATGAATGACGGTGTCCTGGCTTCAAGTGACATCTCTAATTTTAAGGCAAATCTGTTTCCTTTTAAGGAAGGAGGTGTTATGGGAATTCCACTGCTCCCACTTTCTCTGTATATATATTTTTACTACACACCTTGTTTTGTTTCTTCTTCTTTAATGAAAGTCATACCATCTAACCCAGTTGTAAGTAAAATGTCTTGAACTCCAATGTATTAATAAGGATCAGGTGAGTTTTTTCCTTTTAAAATTTTACATATTTTCCCAGCAGGAGAGGCAAATCCTCACACCCATTTTGCAAAGTCTCAGGCCATCTTTATTTATTATAAGTAAACAGTAAGTAACCCAAAGTTAGCAGACCAAAAGCCCTCACTGACCAGCCTGACTTGCCCCATCTCTGCACTGTATTTCAGAACACAATCTCCAGCAGTTTTCCTTGAGGCCTGCCCACCATGGCCAGATCCTGGTTTCCTCTGCAGCCTGGGCCATGGACAGGAAGAACTCCCCTGAGGAGGCATACATGGGCTGGCTTTACCCTTCACTACAGCCTCTTGTCTCTCTCAGGTATGGGAGCCACACCTTGCAGGATACCAGGCGGTTCCAGTCCCTGCTACATTAGACTTACTGAGCACTGGGGAGTAGTAGTGTGAGCAAAATCTGGGACTTCAAATGATGTGCTTTTCTTTTAGTTCTCTAGTTAACCACAAAATCCAACTGCACAGTTGGAGTTTTTACTGCAACGTGCTTTGGACAAATCATATTAAGAATGAGAATATCTAGAATGCAACTGTTAGGAAACCTTTCCAATTGCTGGTGTGCTGTATTAAGTGATGGTAACCCTTTTTGCAAAGTGATGATTTCCACCACAGCTTGTTCAATAATGTATAAACTGTCACAGCTTTGCACACACAAAAAGACAAAGAATGGAAATTACCATAAAAAAAAGACATTGTCATACATGGCATGAAGTTCAGGAGTGACTAGGATCTGAACTTCTACCCTGGAGATTAGGCTCTGAAAACATTTCAGTTTCCTCAAATCTATCATCATAAAATTGTGGCATTTAAGATCTAGAAGAAATCTTAGCCTGCTCAGTTGTTTCAGGCTGTTGCTGTGGGGAGTGGCCTGGAGTCCTGTGTATGTGCTGCCCAGGAGATCAGCAAGACATAAGAACCCAAATCCCCTGCCCCCCACATTCCCCCCACCAGCAGCTCCAATGCTCTCTCTGCTCCACCAGGGGTCCTGAGTAGGAGGGTCCTG